AGCAGTAGTAGTAATAGTAACAGCAGTAGTAGTAATAGTAACAACAGCAGTAGTAGTAATAGTAACAGCAGTAGTAGTAATAGTAACAACAGCAGTAGTAGTAGTAATAGTAACAACAGCAGTAGTAGTAGTAGTAACAGCAGTAGTAGTAGTAACAACAGCAGTAGTAGTAGTTAGAAGTAGTAGTAACAGCAGTAGTAGTATAGTAACAACAGCAGTAGTAGATAGTAACAGCAGTAGTAGTAGTAGTAACAACAGCAGTAGTAATAGTAGCAGTAGTAGTTAGTAGTAACAGCAGTAGTATAGTAATAGTAACAACAGCAGTAGTAGTAGTAGTAGTAGTAAGCAGCAGTAGTAGTAGTAATAACAGCAGTAGTAGTAGTAATAGTAACAACAGCAGTAGTAGTAGTAATAGTAACAAAGCAGTAGTAGTAGTAGTAGCAGTAGTAGTAGTAGTAATAGTAAGCAGCAGTAGTAGAGATTAGTAGTAGTATACAGCAGTAAGTAGTAGCTTAGTATAGTATAACAGCAGTAGTAGTAGTAGAATAGTAACAGCTAGTAGTAGTAATAGAACAGCAGTTAGTAGTAATAAGAGTAAAGCAGTAGTAGTAGTAATAGTAACAACAGCAGTAGTAGTAGTAATAGTAACAAAGCAGTAGTAGATAGTAATAGTAAGCAGTATAGTAGTAGTAATAGTAACAGCAGATAATATAGTAGATAGTAGTAGCAACAGCAGTAATGTAGTAGTATTAGATATAGCAGTAAGTAGTAATAGTAACAGCAGTATAGTATATGTACACAGTAATAGTAATAGTAACAGCAGTAGTAGTAGTAATAGTAACAACAGGCAGTAGTAGTAATAGTAATCAGCAGTAGTAATAGTAGTAATGTAACAAGCAGAAGTAGTAGTAATAGTAACAACAGCAGTAGTAGTAGTAATAGTAACAGCAGGTAGTAGTAGTTAGTAACGCAGTAGTAGTGTAACACAGCAGTAGTAGTAGTAATAGTAACAGCAGTAGTAGTATAATAGTAACAGCAGTAGTAGTTAATAGTAACAGCATGTAGTAGTAATAGTAACACAGTAGTAGTAGTAATAGTAACAGCAGTAGTAGTAGTAATAGTAAACAGCAGTAGTAGTAATAGTAACAGCAGTAGTAGTAGTAATAGTAACAACAGCAGTAGTAGTAGTAATAGTAACACAGCAGTAGTAGTATAATGTAGTAACACAGTAGTAGTAGATAGTAGTAACAACAGCAGTAGTAGTAGTAATAGTAACGCAGTAGTAGTAGTAATATAGTAACAAGCTAGTAGTAGTAATAGTTACAACAGCAGTAGTAGTAATAATAGTAACAGCAGTAGTAGTAATAGTAACAACAGCAATGTAGTAGTCAGAATAGATAATAGTAACAGCAGGTAGTAGTAGATAGTAAGTAAAGAACAGCAGTAGTAGTAGTAATAGTAACAGCAGTAGTAGTAGTAATAATAGTAACAACAGCAGTAGTAGTAATAGTAACAGCAGTAGTAGTAATAGTAACAACAGCAGTAGTAGTAGTAATAGTAACAGCAGTAGTAGTGATAGTAGTAACAACAGCAGTAGTAGTAGTAACAACAGCAGTAGCAGTAGTAATAGTAACAGCAGTAGTCAGTAGTAGTAATAATAGTAACAGCAGTAGTAGTAGTAGTAATAGTTAACAGCAGTAGTAGTAATAATAGTAACAACAGTAGTAGTAATAGTAACAACAGCAGTAGTAGTAGTAATAATAGTAACAGCAGTAGTAGTAGTAGTAATAGTAACAACAGCAGTAGTAGTAGTAATAGTAACAGCAGTAGTAGTAGTAATAGTAACAGCAGTAGTAGTAGTAGTAATAGTAACTGCAGTAGTAATAGTAACAACAGTAGTAGTAGTAATAGTAACAACAGCAGTAGTAGTAGTAGTAATAGTAACAACAGCAGTAGTAGTAGGTAATAGTAAAGTAACAACAGTAGTAGTAGTAAATAGTAACAGCAGTAGTAGTAGTAATAGTAACGCAGTAGTAGTAATAGTAACAACGAGTAGTAGTAATAGTAACAACAGCAGTAGTAGTAGTAAAATAGTGTAAACAGGATGTCACAGTAGTATAATAGTAACACAGTAGTAGTAATAGTAACAACAGTAGTAGTATAATAGTATAACAGCAGTAGCAGTAGTAATAGTAACAGCAGTAGTAGTAGTAAGTAGTAATAGTAACAACAGTAGTAGTTAGTATAAGTAACAGCAGTATAGTAGTAGTAGTAATAGTAACAACAGCAGTAGTAGTAGTAATAGTAACAGCAGTAGAGTAGTAATAGTAACAGCAGTAGTAGTAGTAAGTAGTAACTAAAGCATAGTAGTAGTAATAGTAACAGCAGTAGTAGTAAATAGTAACAGCAGTAGTAGTAGTAGTAGTAATAGTAACAACAGCAGTAGTAAGTAGTAAAGTAACACAGTAGTAGATAGTAACAGCAGTAGTAGTAGTAACAGCAGTAGTAGTAGTAATAGTAATAACACAGTAGTAGTAGTAATATAACAACAGTAGTAATAGTAAACAGCAGTAGTAGTAATAGTAACAGCAGTAGTAGTAGTAACAGCAGTAGTAGTAGTAAAGTAAACAACAGAGTAGAGTAGTAAGCAACAGCAGTAGTAATAGTAACAGCATAGTAGTAATAGTAACAGTAGTAGTAATAGTAACAGCAGTAGTAGTAATAGTAACAGCAGTAGTAGTAGTAATAGTAACAAGCAAGTAGAGTAGATAATAGTAAACAGCAGTAGTAGTAGTAGTAATGTAGTAACAGCAGTAGTAGTAAAGTAACAGTAGTATAGTAGTAATAGTACAACAGCATAGTTAGTTAGTAACAGCTAGTAGTATAGTAAGAACAGCATAGTAATAGTAGTAAAACAGCAGTAGTAGTAGTAATAGTAACAACAGCAGTAGTAGTAATAGTAACAACAGTAGAGTTAGTAATAGTACAGCAGTAGTAGAGTAATAGTAACAGCAGTAGTAGTAGTAATAGTAACAGCAGATAGTAGTAATAGTAGTCAACAGCACGTAGTAGTAGTAATAGTAACACAGTAGTAGTAATAGTAACAGCAGTAGTAGTAGTAATAGTAAAACAGCAGTAGTAGTAGTAATAGTAACAACAGATAGTATAGTATAGTAACAGCAGTATTAGTAATGTAACAGCAGTAGTAAGTAATAGTAAAACACAGTAGTAATAGTAAACAAAGTAGCAGTAGTAATA